AGATGTATCTCGACATAATTAGGTAATTATCTCACGCATTATTCAAGGTTGACTATACGACTATTTTGAACGGAACCAGTTAATGATTTATAATTCAGATTTCGATTAATATATGTTTGTTTGATTCTTAAAATCTCAATCTTTTTGAACTGAATATGTACATAGTTTTTTAAACTCTACTGAAATAATTAATATCTATTGAAAATATTCTGTAGCAACATGGGATATGCGCAAAGTTAGCTTCCAATGCGCGCGTTTTCTAGATAACTAAATTGACCTAAAAAAGGAAATAATTCTATGAATTTAGGGTTAAAGAGGATCCTTATTCTTTCTTTCTCATATGAGAAGAACCTATCATTTAGATTATTATCATCAGCCCTTGTTACGAGCTCACTGCAGGGGTCCATTATTAATCTTAATGAGGGACCCCTGCCTACATTTAATTTAATGCCAGAATTAAATAACTTACACAGATATTCACTAACCTAGAACAAGGCATAGCTTAACTAGAAAACGCCTGATATTACGTATCGCCTAAGCAGAATTGTTTAATATCAAATAAATATTGTTTTCTTTAATCCCTTGAGATATTTATGACTCGGTGAGTAACTCGGTGGCGTAGTGGATAAGCGCCGCGGCCCGCGATCGATGTCGTTAAGCAACTTTCGCAAGCGTCGGTCACGGGATGGGTGACCAAAAAATGATTATCTCGAGATACTCCGTGCTTCGGAAGGCACGTTAAGCCGTTGGTCCTGGCTGCATTGGCAGTCGTTAATACCCTCCAATCCGCATTGGGCCAGCGTGGAGGGTCGTGGCCCATCCTCCTTAACCATCCATAAGGAAGGCCTGAGCCCCTGCAGTCAGGACGTAAAAAGGCTGATGATGATGATGATTTATGACCTAGCATATACGCAAATGCCTAGCGCAAGCGTCGCATACCGAATATCATAACTTTAGACATTGCTTAATTTTGTAGGTGGTTCCTAGTTAATGGTGAAATGCGTTTTGCGATTATTTGGGCGATTCATAAGTTTAGTAAAAACAGTATTTAAAGTATTAATTCTATATTTTGTTGATTCAATTCAAAATATTAACTACGTTTCTGTTGCTTTGAACTGTTTCATTTTTCTATTTTCTGAATTTTTACTAATAGGAGTTTAATTTGATTGAGTTCATCCATTTAAATACTTTAAATAAAAACTTAAATCAATAAGTAAGAACATTAGCGAGAATATTTTGTTAAACAACTTTAAATCGTAATATATCCTAAACTATTATTTAAAATCATCACCAGCCCTTTTACGTCCCCACTGCAGGGGCTCAGGCCTTCAGGCCAGGTTAAGGAGGATGGGCCATGACCCTCCACGCTGGCCCAATGCGGATTGGAGGGTTATTTAAAATGAAAAGTGATAAAAGGAACCTAAAGATGATTTTAAAATACCTATTCAACGACACCCCACTTGACATAGTACGTCGATTTTTTTTTCATTTTGACAATAATGGCGTCTGGTTGTCGCTGTGGTGGATTTTGATTACTGTCATGTCTTTAGTGACACTCGCAAGGTTAAGATGAATCGATGGACGTAAGAATCATCAAAATCGGCCTACGCATTTGGTATCTAGAACGCCACATAGAAACAAACATACATACATACATAGACTGTTAAATACATTACCCTCCTTTACGTCTCGCAGTCGGGTAAAAAATAACTTTCCGTGCTCCCTGCACAGGGAAAAAGTGCTATATCAATCGTTAATATTAAATACTAAATGAGATTTAAATACTTAATGAGATGTTTTCGACATGTATATTTTTGGTAAATAATGTTTTTTTTTTACTACAATTAATAATATCAACACTCCATAGTTTATTGCAAACTATAGTGTTATATAGATCTTACAATCAATATATAAATTAAAACTATGGACCCTGTCGGGCGCAGCATTATAGAGAAGGTAGAATTTCTTACAAAATTAAAGATAATTGGTCTGGTACAGAATTAGTATCTATTCGTAATCTTTATGTTTGTAATTATAGTAATGTTCCACGTTTTTGCTTTATGTACTCAAGCAAATGAATCACATAGCAAAATAATTGCGGTATATACTTACATTATGAATCTTATATGCACCTTATATCACATCAAGTATATAATTATAATATACTTTTAATAATTCTTCACTAATATTATCTTTCTTAATATTTATATTTTATAGCGGATCAGGAAATTCATAGATATTGGATAAAAATATGGTGGTAACTTTATTTAAATTATGTCTATTTAAAAATGCTATATTGTATGTGTGAAATGAGACGCAAAATAAAATGTTGGCACAAAGCAGGGACCTCACACCCCGACCTTTAAATAAGACAGGTGAACCATGAACTGACCAGCCAATATACATAGAACTCTACGTTTTAATTTTATAGGAACATTATTTTAAGCTTCAAAAGCCGTTTCCACATACTCATTAAAAACTTTTACTTTGATAAATACAAAATAAATAAAAACTAATTCATTTATTTTATAATGACGAATTTAGGAGGAATAAAAGCTTATGAATTATTATTATATAACATATAAAAATTCATAACAAGCATATACTTATGTTAGATACATAAGTACATATAAATCACCAAAGAATATAAAAAAAATATATCATTATTTGACATTCAGTAAACAATAATCTGAAATGGTTAATATAATTAATCTAAACGTCTTATTAAAATACTAAATCCTCTTATTTTAATACTTAAATGGTCTTATTATAAAGCTACTATTAAGGACTAACTTTAGTACCAGGTTTTAACCACTATCCGACCAAAATAAGTCGACACGTTTCAATTTGACGCTTTCTATTGTGTTATTATCAATTTGCTTTAGACGGCCAATTATTTAATTTAAACCATGCACTAATCTTTTCTCATTGTCAATTTGCTTTAGGCCAATAGTCAATAATAGACTAAGTACTAACTGGAGTCCTCGTTTTATAATACGACACAAAATGTCACAAATTCGTACTCCTCCATCAATTTTCATAAAAAGAGATACCTACCAACAGTTTTCGTTATATAAATGCATTTAAATGACTTTTCTATATTAAAAAACAACGATCTAACAAAATAATTATTAAATACAGTAATTTTGTGAATAAATCTTTATGTAAACCATTCAACCAAAATAAATATAGACCTTGTGAAATTTCAGCAACTAAAATACTTTCGGAAATTCATAACAAACTTGCCCGTAGCTTTTGACGGTTGTGCGCATTGAAAAACAGAAATTTGACTGTATTATTTTTATAGATAAAAGATATGTAATCATATTTTATACAACTTCGGTGTCATCATTTGTCATTCGGTTGATGTAAGTAATGTAATATACCTACTCGTAAATGTAAGTTGACGTTAAATTATTAAAAGTGTAAATTTTCCAACAAGTGTTTAAACTAAACGAAAATAAAAGCCCCGAAAGATTACTGAAATAATAAAAAAATGCAATAAATGTTTTTTTTCTATTTGATGTATGTATGATAGATAAATCTAATAGTAGCAATTCTGTGAATAACACTAACGGCCGGTTTTTTAATTGAGAAAAGTATACAATCTCGACTGATTATTCTCAATAACTAAAGTTTTTTTTTTTACTAGGAAAAACTCCTAGTTTTTATTAAAAAAAAACTAAAATCAGAATCGAACTTTAAGTACTCAATCCAGAAACCGAGTGTTAGAACCTAAATTAAGTTTAATTCCTCACAAACTGCGTTATTCATTTAGTATACATCAATACTTCTTAGGTTTCATCTCGCACAAAAAAATGTTATATTGCTATTTTATTTAGCTTCTGCTAGAGCTGACCCGCAAATATGTAAATATGTTAAGACTGTAATAACACTCGAAATAATGTTATACTTTTAACCCTCATCCATCTGATAAATTGACTTATATACTAGCTTTCCGCCGGCTGCTACGCCCGCATGGTCCATAATGCACTGTTTATTTCGATATCGATTCATACCATGACACGGATATAATTACATTGGCAAATTGAATAGTTAACAACGGTTACTATGGTTACTATGGTAAAGTTTCTATTTTCAATACAAACTTACACTCCTAATTTCATCCCTTTACTTACTGTTTTTCAGGATAAAGTATAAACTATTTTCACCGCATATCATGTAGCCTTCCGTAGAAGAATTTTTAAAGTCAGTCCAGAGAATATTCGTTGCAAATAACCAAACAATCATAACTTTCCTCTTTATAATATTAATAAAGATAAGTGCAAAACGAAAATTGTTAACTGTCAATAATCAGATTGAGGTATCCTGAAAAGTTTCAATAAATAATGCATTGAATTTTCATTCACCAGTATTTTACTTATCAAGTAATCGTTCCCATAATATGACGTCCTACTAAGGATACGGAAACAACACTAAATCAAACTTCTATAACTCATAGCAGTTTCAGGGCAATCCTTTTGTTTTAAAGTTAATATCAAATTTAATTATTTCGCTGCGGTACAGAGATACTAACTTCAAATACCTGTAAATTATTAATAAGTGTCTTATTGCCTTTAATATTGAGTTCAAATTGTGTTTTTCTTGAACCATTTATAATTTATTTCAAAAGATCTCAAGTATTTAACATAATAGTATGAGTCCTTCCAATGAATTTGAGTTTCATTGGAAGGACTCATACTATTATTCTAATTATAATACGAATCTGTTAGCAGATCAAGTTATAAAGTATAAAGTTATAGATATAAGTAAGATTTGCCCCAGTTTAGAAGACGCCTGGGGTGATTTGTTTTGTATAGGTTCCTTATGTATTACTATTAAAGAAAGCAATCGCCGATAATCTGGTTTTATACTAGAAATCGGAACTTTCCTATACGATATATGAAAATTTTTACGGATTTTATGACTGGCACCCCTACCAAAACCCTGGTCACCTTCGGTATTATATTCTTTTCATCGAATAACATTTCTCTTTTCAGACAATAACATGAAGCCCATCTGGTGGATATGACGAGGAAATTTTTGTTTTGTTTCCCTCTGCGGGCGGGGAATATAATATTTGGATACATCGTCATAGTGAGTAAACAGTTTTACATATAGCTTTTAGTTATAGGCAAACTCTTTGTTACAAAACATTGCTTTCATAAAAGTGTAGGCGTTTTAGAACTTAAATATTTTTTATTATTTTATATGAATTCATTATAATTTATAATGAATTAATATAAAATAATAAAAAATTATAAATCAATCTTACAATTGTTTCTTCTTAGCTAAGCTAGTGATAGTTCTGGTTTGAGTTCCGAGAATTTAGAGTTATCTAGAAAACTAACCTTCCCCCAGCGGTGAATCTAGTTTTGAATCCAGAAATGAGAAAATTCTATAAAATATTACATCCCCTAATTTACCCCCTTATATGTTGAATTTCATAAAATCCCGCCTCATTGAACCTACGTTTTAAAACGAATGCGCATAAAAATTTGAAACCCCTAGCACTTGTAGTTTCTAAGATTTCGTGATAAGACCTTTTGCTTTTATATATAGATTAGAAAATTACTTGATAGTTGCAGATGTGCCGTTTTGAACAAGACCGTCTTATTTTTCATTATGGACATATTTATGAAAACGACCATTTAAACAAACGGTGACAATTCTATGAATGTAATTAATAAGTAACATTTTCCTTATTAAAAATAAATTCGGTGCATGGGTACTGAATAATAATAATAATAGAGTTAATAATAAAAATATGGATATGGATCAAAACTCTATTATTTCATAACTATCTTCCTGCCAACGACCTCATTATACACATAAAAAATTTCTTTTAAATCATCCTGTCTATTAAAACGCTTCAAAATCTGTTGCGTAGTTTTTAAGATCTAAGTATACATATGAACAGATAGACGGAAAGCAACTTTATATTATACTAAGTATATATAAAAAACAGTATACATTTCGCTTTATAATAATGTGATTAAAATTTCGTTTTGATTTTAGTTAATATCGGTGGCTGTGATAGCGTACAACTTGTATCAACTCGGGCTGACTCTGGTGTCCGAAGACTACGAGAACAATGAGAAGTTTCGCAATTTCGAAAACGTAGAAAAGATATTCGGCGAATCAAAGGGAAGTTTGGTGAGGACCATCACCATGGCGTACTGCGCATCGTATATTATTATTGGGACGCTACTTCTGCTGTTCGCGTCGTTCCTCACATGCGGTGCTTATAAGGTGTGTGTGTTAATTGTTAATTCGCGATTTTACGAAATAATCGCATTTTAAACCAATTTTATACTAAGATTAGGCTAATGTTTGCCAAATAAAAATCGTTTTAATAAAACATAATAACATAACAAAAGAATCAGACAGGCAATTATTTATTTTGAGCACAATCCTTAAACAACACACCATGCTCCCTTTTAGCACCGATTTGACTAACAAAAGATCGAAAGATAAGGTTTGCAAAAATACACAAACTAAATATGCTATCATCTAGATTCTATATTTTTCGTGAACCTTTAATTTATAATGGACTCTACGCGAAACTGAACATCTACCACTCAAATTTCAATACTTGTAAAAATGTTCTAGAAGTTGCTCTTCAGTCTTATGAAGACACAGAAAAATTATTGAATGTTATAAAATAAAATGTAATACAAAGAATTTAGAATAATAGTTATAACATTTAAAGTTTTAGTTACTACTTACATAGAAAAATTACTTTTCTTTCCAGTGTAAAATAATAGTGTTTAGTGGTTAAAAATCTTTTAGATTATTTAACGTGTCCCTCATATTGCTTGTCAAACAGGTTCCCCTATTTCAGGCACAATATGTAATTTTTTCTCCTTTATAAACATGTGTCGTATTAAGTTTATTGTAAATATTTATAGAAGATTTAATAAATATAATTATAATTAAAAATATTAATAATGTCTATAGTAAAAAATCTCGAAATTGACTCTAAATAGATTTTTTGGATCAATTTTACAACATTTATTTTTTTTCTTAACTATAAAAAAATAATACTAAATAGGTTTTAATATAATCTAAATTGGTCGAAACATTTTTATAACTGCATTTGTTTGTCATTAAAAATGTGTGATATCAAACGAGTGCGTCTTTACTCTTGATACGTATTTGTATGGAAACGTAAGTGGAATTACAAAAGGGCTTAAGTTTTAATAATTATGAACATTGTTGATTAGGTGATCTTATTTAATAATACACAATCTTATCGTAAAATAATAGTAGTAAATAAAGGATTTGGTGAATTTAAATGAAAGCTCGGTGACGACACTTTCATTTTTCCTATTCCATTTTATTCGATTCCATCCTGAGACCTGAGCCCCAGCAGAGGGGTAATGATGAATTATAAACTTTTTTAAATAAATAATTTATAATTTGAAAGTTTATTCATATAACACGATAGGGTATGGGATTGGGTGACCAAAAAATTATTATCTCGAGCTACTCCGTGCTTCGGAGGGCACGTTAAGCCGATGGCCCCGGCTGCATTTGCGGTCGTTAAAACCCTCCAATCCGCATTGGGCCAGCGTGGAGGGTCATGGCCCATCCTCCTTTACCATCCATAAGGAAGGCCTGAGCCCCTGCAGTGGGAACGTAAAAGGGCTGATGATGATGATGATGATGATGATGATAGGGTATAACAGTAACAAATACTCAATAAACATGTTTACAACAAACAATTTTTACTATGTTTAGAATCTTTATTTTATAAATGAGTATCACTAGACTTTGAACGAAGAAAAAGTGTTCCGTTACAATTTAACAGTCCATTGAAAACAATTATCTTTGAAGGAAAGTAAGTCGAATGCGATTCGCACTCGTATTATTATTGTTTTTTTTTAATGGCTATTTCACGGTTTATTGGTGACTAGACGCGGATGTTATTTCGTAACTGATATTGTATTACGCAACTAAGTAGGTTGTGTGTTATGGTTTAGAAATGTTATTATAGTCTTGTGCACTTTAGCTGTGAATAGCTTGTTGTTTTAGTGGTGGGAAAAAGAAAGTTTCACGGCTCTATAATAGTTTAACAGACTCTGCTGCGACTATTCTAGATTCGGAAATATTTATATAAATATTATATTTTACCGTTGATAATTTCTATTATGACAATTTTATTCTATTGATATATTTTATTAGTACTTAAAAAATTTGATATCAACATCAGCCTAATATGACCCACTTGCTAAGGCTTTTTGAATGGAATCGTATCGAATAGGGAAATTTAGCTATAATTCACATTGACCCAGTGTGGATTGGTAGGTGTTAACTACTGCAGATAAACCGGGATATGCCTTCTGAAGTACGGAGGAACTAATAACTTTTTAGTCACCCATCCTATGACCGACATATGTGAAAGTTGCTTAACAACCGTTTCGCAGACCGAACGAGCTAACAATTAGCCGTAGCGTGTGGATGTGGAGTTTCTGTAATAAAACTATATGTGAATAATAAATTATTGTTATAGATTGTAAAAAGAAATACATTTAATTTTTTTTTTTCTCAAATTTTGTCTTTTAGGCGAACCACTGTTTGGTGTCAACGTTCTTTGGGTATAGCTTCCTCCACTTGTTTTTGACCATTGGACTGGTGGTGTGGGAGACGCTGTCTGCTGGCTGGATCCAGCTTGGACTTGTTGTTGCATCTGATTGTAAGTTAAAACCCAGTCAAATTTTTTTTGGCACTAACTGTAACTGTGAATCAAAGAATATCTAGCCACTTACACACTCAGTCTGTATCCGCAAGACCTGAGGAACGATTCCTTAAAAATCCGAACAAGAATTCGAATTCACTCATATGTTCGAATGGTATATGGTTACTTTTTTATTATTATTTTAATATATTGATTTTTCCAATTTATTCCAATATATTGATGATATGAAAATAAAATCTATATTATAATGATTGATCTACATACATATCACTGGTAAAGAGAGCATATTCCGAGATACACCAGTGTTATACGGTAAAAGACACTCACAACACATAGATTCATCAAATAAAACCTACTTCAAAAGGTAATAAAGGTTTTATATGCTGTTTTTATTACAGAATAGCAAAGCTGGCCGTTTTGCCGTCGAAGGCGGCAAAACTCATTAAAAGAAGGAAAAAACTAAAAACTTTTTGCTATCATCAAAACTAAAACGAAGAGCCATTTTTATTTGAATTAAGAATCCATATAAGAAAATTCAGATTATCATTCAGGTAGAAAAGAAAAAATTAATAAGACCACAGGAAGAAATACCAAATTTCTTAGGCCCTAGAGTAATATATAACTTGTATTACACATCTCTAGGGATATAGGCAATCAGTATAATACGCTAGTAATATTGTGGGAACCTTATACAAACGTAACATTATATATATTATTAGAAGTAATATTTTAACGTATAGTTAGAAAGTTAAAAGATAATATAAACAGGAGCAGATTCTATTAGAGCAGTTGGTAGCCAGAGCCTGATCAAGCTATTTGATCGTTCTGAACAAAATATAACGTAGAGTTGCCAGCCGTCACGTTTTTTCTAGGAAATGCCCTGGTTTTTAAGGTATCCCGGGATATACTGGATAGTTTTTAAGCAGTACCATACCAGTACCATGTAGTTTCTAAGACGCTTTCTGGGTTTGTTGCTGTTGAGTGAGAAACTTGGCTTCTTAAGGTATCGTCTCAGCAGCATTTTACATGAAAATTAATAAAATAAAACGATTAAGTAATGAAATAAAAGTTTTAAGAAGGATTGTGTAGATAAATAGACAAGTACTAATGTTTTTTTCGCATTTACCAAATATGATAATGTGTAATTTTTTTTCAGTTCTTCTGGTAGTTTGCCTGTTCAGCGTAAAGTATCTGATGGAAGCAATACGTACTGGCCATATCTACAGCAGGCCGGGAGAAGTGCTATACAAATATTAGTTCTAGTTCATAAGCATAAAAAATACACTAAGCAGAAATACTTATTATTAGTTTAGTTACAATAATATTTTACAATTGTGAAGCAGTTTTTTTTTATAAAAACCAAACTAGTTTTATTATTTTTAAAGTCCTAACAGTCTCATCTCTCAAAAATAATGAAAGAAAAGTCACTGTTGTATTTTCGTGGAATTATAAATTATATAATGTGTACTTTCTAAATTATTTTAATATAATTTATTAAGTTTTTGCAAATTGATTTAAATATATTTTATAAGTACTTTTAACATTCCATCCAAATACTGTGTCACTATATAAAAATACCTGTAAATTGTTTATAAACATAATTTATATTCATCACTATAACAGAACCACAACCTTTCGCAATTCGTGCCACTGTATAAGCATATTTGCTTTAAGATATTTATCAGTATAGGTATAGGTATTTTAATATTAAAGGAGTTGTTATGAAATTGTGCTTTCTTTAATAATCTGTTAGTGTGCCAACATTTACAAAAGAATTAATAATCTTTAATTCTTTTGTAAATGTTGGCACACTACCACATCCTTCGGACAGGTGTCCTTTAACACAAGGGTTGTCTGGAAGAGATCGCTTTTAGCGATAAGACCGCCTTTGCCCACTAGAACTAAGAAATTTCCTGTGAACTTTCATTTGTGTGTGAGCAATAAAGAGTTCATCTATCTATCTATCTATCTGCTCTATTAGCTTTTCTATTCTGTTAATAATACAGCTTTAGAGGTTTAATTAAATAAAACCTACTTATAAAACTTCAATTTGATTGAACTTCTAATATAAACGCTACATTCGTCTGCGTATTTTAAAGGAATAACAAAGCTGATGAGATGACAAAAGTTCTCTTTTAATACTTTTGATTTTTGTATTGTAATATTTTTTATTGAAAATTAAACAATACCATATCAAAATCGAGTGTCTTCTTTATTTATTATTAATTAACTTATTAATTACATTTTAATTTAAATAAACCTTAAGTTTAAAACATTTGGAAATTCACGCATCATTTACTCAAACTAATAATTTATTTACAATCACAGCAATCACACTTATCAAGTAAAATATAAAATATCCAGTCTTTACAGACTTCAAATTCAATACCAGCCAAAATAATTTGTATTTGAAATTTTTTCACTTTATCGCTATAGGTAAATTGGTATTGAATTAGTTTCTAAATAGATCCTCTATCGGTATTTATAAAAAAAATTATCAAAATTCGAGAAATTCGCCGCTTCCACTGTCCTCCTTCTTCTCCTCTTCCCCAACATCATTGGCACCACCATAGCCATTGTGGCTGGCACCATACCAGCTCCAACAGCTGCTAAAATTGTAGAGCTATCAGGAGTTACGTTAGCCGCGACCTTTCTTCTTATGACTTTAGTTTTTACAGGCCTATGTTCAGAAGGAGCTACATCTAGATCATGTACCTTATCCATAGCTTGCTTCGATTCTTCAACTGTCTCGAAACTCTTTTCTACTTCCAAAAGACCTCCATGAGACGTAGTCATATTCGTGTGAGCATTATCCACTGGCAATACTGTCAATGATACAGCTTGATGGGATGTCACGTAATCATTATGTTCATCTTCAGGTGTATTTAGGTTCATAGATCTTTGTCGCTTCTTGTTGCGATAGCCCTTTGTTGTTGAAAGTAAAACCCACTGTCCGTCTCCATGTGGAGGCCTCGACCCGCGGTCAGTGTCAAGATCAGGCGACCCCGCGTACACGACCTGAGTCGGCCGTCTGTAAGGACGTTTCTGTATAGTCGCTTGGTGCAAAGCTTCGTACTCGTAGGGGAAATGTGACGGACGATTATCAGTCAATAATGAGTCAGATATACCGTAATAAGGATTATCTTCGTTATTATTGTTATCGTCGTTGTTGTCACAATTGTGTGGCTTATTAGGCCTCCTGCCCTCATCAGGTGACCAAGAAGAAGGATAAGATGTTTGATGAAGCTTATTCCAAGATGGTTTCGATGGCACTTCACTTTCATATTCGGGAGTAGACATCACATGTAATTTATTATTTATGTATCCCGGGCGATTCAGTGTAGGCCTTTTCTGTGTGTAACTATAATCATTCGCTACATCCTGGTGATCTTGGTAAGATGTATATCTATCGTCACTGGGAAATCTATTATCGTCTTCATTCCAATGGTTCGGTTTTTGTTTTTTAACATTAGGTTTCCACTTTGATATTTTGCTCGTTGACCATGCCACTGGTTCCAAGGTAACCCAGCCATCTTTATCATCGTAAGGGTGCTTATGTTGCTTCACTTTCAATCTATTCCAAGTAGTATAAACCTTTCCATTATCCTCATCCTCATCTTCTTCGTTTTCCATGTAATTAAACCGATCAGCTTTTATTTTCTCTTTCTTCAATTTTGCAGCCAGCGCATTGATTGCTTGTAAACGTTCTTTCGAAAAATCACGATAGTTTTTCAACTTTTCTTGGTCCACTTCAAAATCTTCATTACCGTCTTGAGGTCCTTCTTCACCGTTAAAACCGTTCTGACACGAAGGTCCGTAGCAGCGCGGTCTATTGCTGCCCACATCATGAATAATATGTGTCATTAAGTTCTTCACATTCACGTCGTCTTCAGTTATATCATAAGATCCATCTTTTTTCTTGTTATCATCTAGCGTTTCTATTATAGTGATAGGATCCTTTCCAGGTACTTCAACTTGGTAAGTGTTCACCTTTTCACTGTATTTCTCTATTTGGTCGTCTGGATTAGCCAAAGCGGCGACGAACATACAAAACGCTAAGAGCACTGTCATTTTTATCGGGCTAGTTTCACTTTCTTTCGTCGCGTGTAGAGCGCGTGGGACCGCGCGGAGACTGAGCGCTAGCGCTGACTGCAACCTGTTGTTATAGTTTTGATTGTGGATGCACAACGCCACCCTCCCTGCTCTAATGCAGTAAGTCAGTGCGGTCACGACGAATGAGCAAGATAATTGCGTGGCGATTGTCGTTTGCGGGCGGCTATCTCAATTGACTATCACAACTCTCACAGGGCCGTGACCCGCAGGTGAAAACGTTTTTCATTTTGTACTATTTTCACTGAGAACGCTGCACATTTCTATTTGTAACATTTCTCTGTCGAAATTAATATAAACACGCGTGTATAACTTTACGTGCGAGTGATTTAAATACGTTTCAGTCTGTTTGGAACTTTTTGCGTTGTAACAAAAGTTTGTTTTGATACGCTCGCTTTATGTTAGACAGTTTTAGGTAAAGTAAACTTTGAAATTACAAGTAATGTATTAGTAGCTTCTGGAATCATTTAATTTATTCTAACAGACGGAGCAGTTCGGCTTCAGATTTTACTTTCGCAATACGTGTAATAAAAAAAATATACGATTACTATGAGGAAAATAATAAATAAAACACTTTTCTCCTCTGTTACAAACTTACCAAAAATGTCATCGATTGCTAACCTTAAAATAGTTTTACACTTACGCCACCAACACTACCACAAAATATGAGTCTTGATGGATTTTTGAAAATCAAACTTTACGCGTTTACCATTGCGCCATCGAAAAATGTTCTAAAAACTTTCCTTAAAATAAATCCTTAAGATACCTTAATGGAAATGATTTTACGATTTCTTATCAAGCCATATATTTTGTACATTGCGATTAATCTTGTAATATGCTGTCATCTATATCGTTTAATGGCGTCGCGATTTTGTCTCGTTTTCTCTTCACCTTTATGAGCACTATTAATCTCGAGCAATACATTTCGCTGCAAAATGAAAGTTTAATATATCTCAGCAGACATCCCCAGTTGCATATATCACACGTGAACTTAAGGCGTATATTATACTTCAATCATGTATTGTTAATTGTAGATATAATATCTATAAAAATTGACATACAGCCTTAAGATGAAAATTATACTAGTGGCAATTATGTTGTACTCTTCTAAACTGTACTAAAAAAAATACAAATTTTAATTTGGGTTTAAGTAACGCTACAGTTATGATATGTTTGTAAAGTAAAGAATATAAGTATGCCAGTTGATTTCCCGTGACATAGCTCGCTTACTTTAATTTAAATAAAAGAATTTTTATGTCAAAGAAGTATTTGCGAAGATAACATCCTACAAACAAACAAAGTTAGAAACTTTACCTCTCCATCATATGAAAGTATTGATTCAATTTAGTCAATTTACTCCTGCAAGTTTACAGACATGAAAAAATGAAAACTTAGTTTACTCTCTGCCAATTGACGTCAATGACAAATAAACTGGGACTTACCAGACATATTATTTTAAAGTATAAAATCTTGGATCATAAACAGTAGAATAGCAAGTTGTTCTTAACTTTAACTCAATAAGAGAAACGATATATTTGTCAATCACATACAACCTCAGCACTTTAGAACATTTGAAATGTTGAGGACTCAATGAATGTAAGGCAAATACCATAATATTTTAATATCTATCTTTTCATACGTAACGTGGATACTCTCTAAAAATAAATAAATAACGATTTTAACGTTTTTATAACTAGCATTTCTTTTTTTAAATATGCATGCCCAAGGTCACTGTCGTTTGTCGTCGCCTTAAATCACCTCAGCAAGACCCGCACCACTCGGCTCTCTCCATAATGGCGATACCATTATCCCTATCTTTGCCCAGATCAAGCTCGCTCTAATTGTATCCGACTACTGATCTTTTTCGAGTTTATTAACTGTGTGAGAAGCTCACGTTTTAACTCTCACGTATTTAACTATGTACACGTCACCACAATTTTCTTTTCTTAACATTTTTCGGACGTCTAGAGAAATATTCATTTTCAAATGTGTTTTAACATTTTCGTGTTAAGAAATTGTGTATTTTGAGTTCCATACCCAAAGGGTAAAAATTGGAGCCTATTGCTAAGTCTCCGCTGTCTAACTGACACCAGGATGTAGCTCATGCATGAACAGTAATAGCTAGACTTTTCCCAAATGATGTTTTTCTGCTTTTTTATAGCTATTTTGCGTTTTTTATTGAAAATGGTACGTAACCTTTTTTGCAAGAAATCAACTTGGCCGGTTTCTTAAAATAGCGGTCAGAGAAACATTAATAAGACAATATTTTCCAAAAAATCGTCATGAGTCTATTAGTGACATTATTGCTGGGCACAGGACATAACAGGAATCACATAGGGAGAATATACCACGAGGGCCCAATACGGCTTAGTGGCAACGACTGCAGATGCGGCCAGGGAAGGTTTGAATGATGAGAGGTAAAAAGAAGTACACAGGGTCATCTAGTTAAAATATAAAAATATCTATTGATTTCTTATATTTTCACTCGCACTATCCATAAATGAAAAAACTTTAATAAGATGAAGGTAGGTATATACCACCGGCTTGGGATCCAGTAATTAGTCAAATAAAATCTCAATCTAGATCACACATGCAAAACCAAAAGGTACAGTTAGTTCATTCTGTAAATATTACATCAAAGGGAGCAATTCACTTTTTCTTGTTGGAGTGTGTTTCGCCAGTTCTTCTCAGACAAGACTCCTAAAGTTGGAACTGGTGGTAGGAAATGAAAATATCTTTATTCAAGTAGGCTATTACAAACACTTTTGAATCGTCAAAAAAAAATTTTTTCCCCTACGAGAAAAAAATGTTGAGCTGTTTTCGTGAAAAAACCCACAAACGAACTTTTATATATCCTGAGATAAAACCTCTATTACCTTCGAAATTTAGTTATATATTTAATTCAACGTTTATGCTCGAATTCTAAGTTGTTTTTAACAGACTAGTATAGATTTTAAAGTGCTTTCAATGAGTTTCTGGAATAGAGATTATTTTGATTTTATTTCAAAGGATGAAGTATAGAGGATGATGATAAAAATAAATGAGTTATTAGCGAAACAGTGTCGTGGAAATTGACTAAAGTAAGAAGTTGAAAGTGTCGAAAAAACCTTTTCAACTAGTAGGTACATTTATATTCAACCTATATGAACTCAGGGTAGATCATTAGTAAGTTAATAAATGTCTCATTATGTTTAACTTAAACATAAATAAACTTAATTAAGTATAGTGAAAGGTACAAAAAATATAATTAGTTTGTACAGAGTTTTTATTAAGTTAAGTACACACAAGAATCACTTGAATGACGTAGCTACAGTGGCGCTGAAAACAAAATAAAAATGTTTTTTTTTTATCATAATTATAAACTTAATAAACGTTAAACATTGTTTTATAAACTGTTTGTGAAATAAATATGGTGACCAGTTATTTATTCTCCAGAAATAGGTATTGTAATCGCTTAGAGATTTTGCGCCTTTTACACACAGTTTAAAATAAAGAAAATTATTATTACAAGATGCTATAATACAATAGTATTTTTATCTGAATTAAAACATGTTAGCTTGTTAGATTAAAGCACTTATAGTGTTTTAATCTAGATTAGCATATAGATGCTTCAGTAAGTGTATATTTTTATTGTAAAATTATTTACAAACCCAGACTTATACTGGTTTTATTATGTATTTATTTAAAAAATACAGCACATTGAACTCATACACGTAATCACTGTGACGGGACTGTGCGTATTTTGGCACGAAATAATTTATCCGAAAGTCTGTACGCCGCTTTACATTTTGTATGCTCATGAATCTCACTGTGTAAATATTTTGTGTAAGTACATATTTATAGAAGTGTAATTCGCATTTTATATGACCATTTAATGTGTTTACACACACACGAAGACAGATAATTAAAACACAATTTTTATTTCTTTTTTACGATGTAAGAGAACTTCGATGCGTGGTTTCGGCCACTATGCATGTGTTTATATAAAAAATCAGCGAAGTGCGAGTCGGACTAGGGCACGAAGGAATCCGTACATTTATCCATTAAAAAAACATGCTTGTTGTTTTCTATGGTTGTTCGAAATTTTCGAGTTAAATACAATTGGTTGGTTATTACTCGTAAACTTGTAAGTCAACTTTAGTATGATAGTTTTCCTTTTAACTTACTTATTATAGTAACTAATGCTATAACGACCGTTTAGTTGGTAGAGGTAAAGCGTAATAAGTCCCAAACAGTTTACTAAATCGAAAAACGGTTTTGGCACAAAATATTTTTGCTGTAAACCCTTAAATATTTATTTTATTCTGGTTTTTAGTATTTGTTGTTATAGTGGCAACATAAATTACATTATTTATGACAATTTCAACTGTGTAACTAACAGCCAGTTGCACAAACGTCCATTAATATTTTCATTAGTTTAAAGCGACATTACCCATACATATTTGACATTCATTAGAGCTTAAAGGCGTCCTTAAACGTTAATGGACATTTGTGCAACTGATCGTAACACTGTTTTTTCGGTACAGTATTCTTTATATACAAACTCACAAAATCTCTCTTTGTAATATTAGCATATTTTACAGTTACAGACGCTTATCTTTAGATCTTTGGAGATTCGGAGAAATCCTTAGTTGCGTGTAAGCTAGCCAAGACTACTATTACCGTTCCTTTATTTACCTACCTTATATTATGTCTCAAATCAAGATTCGTCAACTACTCAAAGTAAGGTCATTGCTTGGTTTGCCTACATAATAGACCAAGACTGAGAAAAATGTGCAAGTTTTCGAAATCTTGATTTTTCAATATGTTGAAGTACGAAGGGTTATCAGTCGGTACTGTCGGTACAGCGTAGGTCAAGAGCTGGTATAACTGGTGGTGGCGGCGAGAAACAAAGCTTCTAGCGATTCGTGAGTGATTGTTGAATTCGAATTCAAAAGAAGTGAATTCGTATACCTGAGGGAATTGAAAAAGAAGTGAATTTGGACACCTGAGTGAATAGCTGTATTTTTGTATTATATTAAAAAA